AAATGCAGACTGAGGGTAAAATGTTACGGGTATAAAGGTATGTTTTAAATTGGAATGTTCTAAAAAATATATTTACCTTTCAAAGTTTTATCATCAAAATCCAGGTTAGCATCAGAAGGTGAATAAGATGCGACTTGACTCTCCCCCATTTCTGAAAAACCAGCGTAAAAAGAATGAACATCAACGCTTGCAAATTCTCGTCTTTGTGCCATCTAATGTCTAACTTTTGCTTATACCTCGTAATTGATATACATACGCTAAGCAAGAACCAATTCTTTTATAAGATAGCCACATCAACTTGGAAGCTAAAACATGTTTGATTTGTGATTGACCACAAAGGTCTCACAATGCACGATGAAGGAAAACAACGGATCCTATTGCCCAGTCAAAAACTCGCCACAATCAGTTAATGAGCAACATTTGAAAGAAAACGCTTCACCAGGTTCCAAAAATTGTCAATTTGTTAATTTGCTTCTTCAAATTGATGAAAATGCTCACTAACAAAGTCAAATTACTCACGTTCTAGTAATCATCTTAGCTTGGCGAAAGTCAGAGGCTCGAAGTAGGGTTTGGATTGTTCAGAATAAAGCTCACATTGCCGAAACCGTAACAAAAGGAACTCGAAGCTAAACTCTACGGAATTTCTGCAGCTAAAATAAAACTGCAAATTTTGCCATGATGGCTCAAAAAGAATTAGGTAGGACCAGTGCGATCGTTATGTTATAATATCCTCTTACAATTACATTGTAAGAAGGTCGTTTTGAAGGCCTTTTAGTCTACCTTTACCGACATCGTTAAACCACAGCTGACCAACGCGTACTATAAGGGTAAGAGCGCCTGCCAGCCAGCCAAATATTCCTGTATGACTTTCTGGGTTTCCGGTGGCGGATGGGACGGCATCGTCCGGAATTTCTGAAACCCTAGTTTTTTTTTTTTTTTAATTTCTTTGCTGGATCTCAGTCTGTTGTTCAGAGAGGCATGTTGTACTTAACGTCTAGAAGTGTCTAGCACCTTCTCTCAACGACGGATTGAGATCAAACGAGGAACCTTACAATTCTCAAGAGCATTCCTTTTTGTTTCTTCTTTTCATTGTTATTAACATACTGTTCGAATTAGCTGAGAGAAAATATTTCTAAATACAGTTTTCATTTCCCCAAGTATTTCTCTTACGGTTGTTGCTCTGGCCTATTGCAGTGTGCGTGACAGCTGTGCTCTTCATGTTCTTTCGCTTTGTTTCCTGTGATGTATCAGGTTCACTGAGACACTTGGTCCGTAAATCAAGTAACGTCTTGTTGTTCTTATCAATCTTCTTGTAGTCAAGTCCCATTGCACAAATTGATGAAAAGGTCATTAACAAAAATCGTAGCGAAAAATAATTAAATAAAGGATAATACATGGACGCGTGTAGATATGTAATATATTCTCGAGTGTTCAGCTCTATATCTCACGAGTAAACGCAGCGAACGAGTGAGATATTAAGATGGACACGAGAAGAGATATTCCACATCTGCAAGCAACCATGTATTATTTTGTTCATTATACACGTATAAACATACTGATAAAGACGTTTTCGACGATTTTCCAAAGATTTCTGACCACTTTCCGTGGATTTCTGAAGATTCTCCCAAAACTTCTCCGAAGGCCAAATGAACGTTTCCGAACATTTTCCGAAAGTTTCCGAAGATTTCAGAAGGTAACTAAAGATTGCCGAAGACTTCGAGGAAGATACGAAGATCTCTCAAGCGTACACAAACAAATTTAAGTACAGCTTAAGGGTCAAACATGATATTAGTGAAGTCATCGATATTTTCCCTAGTGAGGATATGGAAAATACTCCACCGCGCCACCGTACCACCGTACCACCACTGGTACTGAATAACGAATAGACTATGAGTTTAAGAATTCTACGAAGTGGTAGTTGATAATTAACTATCACCTTATGGAGCTATCATCTGGAGAGCAAATAATATTTGTTTAGTAGCATTCTGGCCAAAGTTCCTTAAAAGAAATTACAAAAATACATGTTTCGCTGCTTTTAGTTTACAAGTTAGTAACTAGAACAAGGAATGCAAATATGTCTTCACGTTAAGAACGAAGAAAGCGTATTTGTCTGTTCACCCCATTAGTTTTTCACTAAAGGACGAGTATCACAGTTACTGTACTCGGTATTTTAAAAATAATTTCAAGTATACAGGTCTACGGTTAGAAAGAGGAGCATATCTATCTGTCTTTTATTCCGTTTTGCAGTTCTAAAGAACGAAGGAAACAGCTTACTCGAAATGAAACAATTTTATGACTCGACCTATGTAGAGAATCATGCAGCCGAGCGGAATGCACACCGCGGTAGCTGCAGCATTTGGCGCAAGTAACTCAGTGCGCACCGCGGTGGCAGGATGTGATGAGTAGTATTTCATTGGACGGGTATTTTGAAGTTTAGCCAAGAGTTGTCACGCTTGATTTCTTGCTTGGGTTAAAACTTAAATTCGATCATGCTAGCTAATAACTTACTCAGTGAGTATTAGCGTATGTGAATTTTTG